TCAACTGAGTAGGAACCAATATTTAGAAATCAGTGAAATACCTCCAACCTTAATGCATGTGATATTAAAAGTGTTCCCTGAACAAACAAACCAAATGAGTATTTCTCAGGGAAAAGATTTTCCAATCCTGCAGTCAATGACGTTCCAAAAACTGAATCATGGCCTATTTTTATAAAGCTATAGGAAACAGTTCTAAAAAAATGTGTCTTTATCATAATTTTTAATGTTCCCTTCTCTCCCTTTCTCTCTTTATCCAGAATAGAATAGAATAGAATAGAATAGAATAGAATAGAATAATTTGTTAATTTCTACATAGAGAAAAGCATGAAATAGTTAGTCTGGTTGCTAGTCAGTCTTAACTAATTAGGTTCCTGCTAATCAATCTCAACACTTGTGGCTTGCTTATACACTGAGAGGCAAATTATGCACAGAAGACAAATTCCTTGTGCATTCAATCATACTTAGCCAATAAAGAATTCTGTTCTATTATGTTCTGTTCCATTCTTTTTTAATCTATGTCAATTTTAAAATCTTTTTCATCCATATTTCCAGGTTTCATATAGTCTTCCCAGCCATGGAACACTGCTTTCTCCAATTTAACAAAACTCCTCACTTTCTCTGCAATTCAACACAATACTGCATGTGCAACAAGGTGAAGATAACATTGAATTAATGTTTTTCAAAAAAGAAAAGAAGGAATAATAGCAAGAGACTAAAGTTTATATCGAAGTAGTAGGTGATTGTCAGCAGTCTAGAAAAATGACATCGATGGAAATAAGACCACCTGAAGATACCCTGTAACAGGGATGGGAGAAATAACATGTTTTACATTTTTATTTACTATACATGACTATTTCTAGGAGTTGAGTAGTACTTGATTTAAGAAGGGAAGGTTGAGTGTCTTACACTGGAAGATCAAAGCCAATATCTTGTGAAGGGATATTTTTGAAGGAAACTTCATTAAATACATAAATGACTTGAGATGCCATCCCACCAATGAGAAGTGTCCCTGGCTGATACCAGTCATGAGGAACAGTGAAGAAATGGGTTTGAGGGCACTTTGTGGTCACTCTTTGGCACTCTTCAACGGATAGAAAAAGGAACAGTGCCAGGAATTTCACCATCCCTGCAGATGTGTTTTCCTGGAGAAAAGAGTCTTCTGCATCTGATTTCTGCTTTGTCACCTGTTTTAAAGAGAAAGCAGCAACGTATCTCAATAACACATGGCACAACCAACACAGAAAGAAATTTTAAAAACTCCACAAAGCAGTTTAATGATCTGAAGCCATTTCTGTCCAAAACAGTGGAGAATTGGATAGGTTCACATGGACAGAGCCTGGGCTTGCCTCTTTTCCATGAAACCAGTTGAAGAATACTTGTATATTATAAACTCTTTCTCAACTGCACATCACATACTGATTTCTGTCTTGTTATCTTGTGGATAATCGTTGAAGGTCTGATCAATGAAACTAATTATAAGTATACAGCAATTATAAGAGAAACAATTAACTCTGCTGTGTATTAGGGATAACACATTGTAAGCAGATGTTCTTTTTGTGTGTGTGTTGTCCTTGATGGCCTCCCTAATGGGACACCAGTCAGAGATGGGCTCCAAGTGGATCACATTGATTAAATATGAACAGAATAGCATAGCCCATGGGTGCAGTTGGACCAAGGTAAACAACTCTGAACCTGAAGGGAAATGCTAAGTCAATACTGCTGATCCTTATGTCCCACAATGAGTTGGAACAGTTTCTTCTGGTCTTATATCTAATAAGAGAACTGAGTTTGAAACTTTGATTTTCTTCAAACAGGAATAATACTAGAATGCGTTCCTTGACATGTCTTCAAATAGATCAAAATTTAGATTTAATAATTTCAACAAAGAATAGAAATATTGATCTAAATAATATGAAGTTAGGTCAATCTAATTCAGAATAACAGAATAACAGGCTTGGAAGGGACCTTGGAAGCCTTCTAGTCCAATCCCCTGCTCAGGCAGGAGACCCTATACTATTTCAGACAAGTGGTTGTCCAATCTATCCTTAAAACCCTCCAGTGATGGAGCATCCATAACTTCTGGAGGCAAGTCATTCCACTGGTTAATTGTTCTCACTGTCAGGAAGTTTCTCCTTAGCTCTAGATCAGTGGTTCTCAACCTTTTAATAGCCGCGACCCCAGTTGTAAGTCGAGGACTACCGGCCCGGGAGCGCCGCGTATGCATGGGTCTGTCCCCTGCACCGGCTGAGGCATAGCCGGCAAGGGGCAGTGACAGGCAGGCCCAGGCGCTCCCGGGCAGCCATGTCAGGCAGGGCGACCACCGGTTGGGCCACCAGCTGGCCCAGCCCAAGGAAGGTAAGGCACCCGCCGGGCGCCACACATGCCAGCAACCCTTCCTGTGCCCGCTGCTACCCCGCTAGGCTTACCTTGGCCGCCACCCATTCGGGGCAGTGGCTGGCAGGCTCAGGCGCTCCCGGGCAGCCATGGCAGCGGCGGCGCAGGCCGACCACTGGCTGGGCCACCAGCTGGCCCAGCCCAAGGCAGGTAAGGCACCTGCCAGGCCCCCACGCGCGCCAGCAACCATCCCTGCGCCCACTGGCCTCCCACCTCCCACCCCTGGCCCTCTTTTACTTACTTTTTAGTTGCTCAGCAGGGAGGGAAGCTCTTCAGACTGTTCCCCTTGTAGCACCGTTTGCAGACTGGGGCTTTTGGCAGGCTCAGCAGGGCAGAGACAGCCCTGGACAATTCCTATTGGCTTTTGAAGGCCAATAGAATTAGACTCTGTTCAAGAGAGTCTATTCTATTGTCTTTTGAAAGGCAATAGAATAAGAGGGAGTAGCAGAGCTAAGGAAAAGAGGGGGGAAATGGTGGAAAAAATGGCGGACTGCATTGTTTGGCGACCCCCATGAAATGGTCGTTCGACCCCAAATGGGGTCCTGACCCACAGGTTGAGAACCGCTGCTCTAGATTGTTTCTCTCCTTGATTGGTTTCCATCCTTTGCTTCTTGTCCTGCCTTCAGGTGCTTTGGAAAATAAGTTGACCCCCTCTTCTTTGTGGCAGTCCCTTAAATATTGGAACACTATTGTTGTTTGTCCCCTAGTCCTTCTTTTCATTAAACTAGACATACCCAGTTCCTGCATCCGTTCCTTATACATTTTAGCCTCCAGTCCCCTAATCATCTTTGTTGCTCTTTCTAGAGTCTTAACAACTTTTTCACATTGTGGTGATCAAAACTGGATGCAGTATTCAATTTCTTATCTATCATTGTCATGGCTTATTGAGAAAACAAAAGAGTGAGGCCACCTGTACCTTTGTATATTCAGGATGCATTGTGGGATGTAGGGATGAATGAAGGCGGAATCATCACAGAGAGAAAGTTTCCCAATGCACCAACAGAATTAAGGAGATACTGTAGAAAGGGGAATAAATTAGTGCTTTATAGTAAGATAGGTGTTCCATAAGAGCTATTGGAAGAATAGTTTCTTGATGGATGAGACCAAAAGAGAACTTTTGGGCCTGAATGTATCACATTACATTTGGCAAAAGGCAAACACTGCATTCTAGCAAACAAAACCAGTCACTTATAAATGAAATTAGCTGTTGTCTTTCTCCAGTCTTTGCCAGCACTTCTTTTTTGGTCATCTTCACTAATCATTTCATCATCTTCACTAATCAAATACCCATCATTGTGGGTATTTCAGAGTCTTTCTGTGTTTGCACATACAATAGTTTTACAGCAATATTCATATACAAAAATAATCTTCCATGGGTTTTTTTCTATTTTTTAATATTTCCCAACTAGTTTCAGTTGTATGTTGATCTTTAAAATCCTTTGTATAATTATATATTTGAATCCAGAAATTTTTGACATTTTTTTAACAAATCTGCTAGGCATGATAAAATGATTTTTCATGTTGTCCATGTTACAGAATAACAGAGCTGGAATGGACTTTGGAGGTCATCTAGTCCAACTCCCTGCTCAAGCAGGAGACCCCATACCATCTCAGAGAAATGGCTGTCCAGTTTCTTCTTAAAAATCTCCAGTGTTGGAGTACCCACAACTTCTGGAGTCAAGTCGTTGTTTCAAACATAAACTTTATATATCTTTTTACATTCAAACCTTTTTTGGGAGTTATGTATGGAGGGTACATCATCCTATAAACATTTTCTTTTGAACTGCAACATAATGAAATTGTTATCCCCTTAACCACATATTTTCCCATTTTGTTCCTCCGTATATTTTGTCCAAAGTTTTGAGTACATTTTGTCATAGAATCTTTCACTTGTTCTTCTGTTTCAAATTTTAATAAAAGCTGATCCATTTTAGCCAGGACACATTAATCATTTTTACACAGTCCAAATTCTGGTTTCTGCTATATCATTGCAAAAGTCTTATTATCTACTTTAAATCTTTCTTTTAATATGTGTACCAAAATTATTGACAACGAATTCCCGCTTTATCAAAAACGTTAAATATTTGTTTAAAGTGATAGTTTCAATTTTGAAATTGTATAAAATTCAGCTGTGGTTCCCATTAAGAAAACAATAAGACAATAACTATTGGAACTTTTATTACCAGTCCAGCTTTAATATATTTATTATTTTATTTACTAATTTAGAAGAAATATATGGCCACTAAACTGATGGGCCATGAGAGGAAAACATTGTTTAATAATCAGTATTCATAAGGCTATTCAAAATATTTAAAACTATTCTGAAACTATTTCAAATGCCTCAGAAGAGTGATATATTGGTGCTAAAGCTTAAAAATATACCACTAAATTACAATAATATAATATATAAATTTATGAAAAAAAATCATTCACATAGAAATCTATGAAGATTCTCAATCATCTGAAGAATTGAAGAAGCTTCTTGGATAAGACACAACATGTTTTCAAGGAAAAATCCAAAGATGTCCAGTCGCCTTTTGGAAAAGCATCTTGGGGTCAATCACATAGAAGTGAATATGTTGATCTGTTTGTCATTTTACCACACATTATATAAGAGCATGCAATTTCACTGGTTTATTCTTTGTCCTTATTAATCCCTCCTTATTATTCAGCTCAGGTCTCAGCAGGATAATATAAACTTTTGGAAAAAAGATACAGGCAAGCAGTGCAGTCCCAGAGGCCAAAATGGAGAAGATCTCCACACCTACCATGTATTTGCCTTTGGCACTCAAATAAGTTGGGATAAAAGTCAGCCAAACACTGCAAAACATGAGCATGCTAAAAGTGATGAATTTGGCTTCATTGAAAGCATCTGGCAAATTTCTAGCCAGGAAAGCCACTATGAAGCTGATGATGGACAGAAGTCCCATGTAGCCCAAGACAAAGTAAAACATAAAGGTAGAACCTTCATTGCATTCTGCTATTATCTTGTTTGGCAGAGATTTCATATCCAACCTGGGGTACGGAGGAGCAATGGCCAGCCATGTAGTACAAATGCCAGCTTGAATGAGAGAGCAGGAAAGGACAATGGTGTTGGCCAGCCTTTTTCCCACCCACCTTCTCACATTGGATCCTGGTTTAGTGGCCATGAAAGCAAGAACCACAGTGATGGTTTTGGCCAACACACAAGAAACTGCCACAGTAAAGATGATACCAAAAGCAACATGACGAATGAGGCAAGTGACTTTGTGGGGATGGCCAAGGAATAAAAGAGAGCAGAGGAAGCAGAGCAGGAGAGAGGAAAGAAGAATATAGGTGAGTTCTCGGTTATTGGCTTTGACTATGGCTGTATCACTGTGTTTAATAAAAGTAATAAACACCAAGACCGTGACCAGTGAAAAACAAAGGACAATTGAGACTAAACCCATTCCTAATGGTTCTTCATAGGAAAGAAAGGTTATTATTTTGGGGAAACAGCTGTCATTGCTCTGGCTTCGATACTGATCATCTTGGCACTGCATACATTCATCCGTGTCTGAAAAGAAAAGGGAGAAAAATTGTCAAGAAAAATAAGTGTATCTATTAGACTTTGACTGGATCAGAAGCCAAATGAAAACAGCTTACTTCATAATAAGAATAGAATAGAATAGAATAGAATAGAATAGAATAGAATAGAATAGAATAGAATAGAATAGAAATAAGGAATAGAATAGAAATAAGGAATAGAATAGAACAGAACAGAACAGAATAGAATAGATTTATTGGCCAACTGTGATTTGACATATAAGGAATTTGTCTCCAGTGCATAAACTCACAGTGTATATATTAGCAGCAAGTAATAGATCATAGATCATACATCATAGTTACAATCATTGATCGTAAGTTACAAACAACAACTGATAAAGCATAAGAATCCAATCCGATGGTGACAGCATGGGGAAAAAACCAAATTTATGTCTAATTGTTTAAAGCAGCATCCTGAGGGGAGAAGTTGAAATAGATTATGTTTAGGATATGAGGGTTCTGTAAGTATTTTCTGAGCCCTCTTTTTTGGTTCATGCAGTATGCTTTAGGTAGATATCTTGGGATTTTAGAGTTAGTTTTCCTTCACCTATGCCATGTCATGTATTCAATAAAACAGTAAGATCTTCAGAAATGAAAAAATCCTGGACTTTATTTTGGATACTCAACCTGGACATTGACAACCAGAGTGAGACAACTGGGGCAAGTCAACCATGGTGAATTGTCCTAGACCCCACTGCTACATTTTTTGGCATGGACAAAGTTTACAGTAGAGGAAATGTGTAACCACCAATGGTTTGTCTTATTGAAGTTAAATCTGTCAAGGAAATCTAAGAATGCATACCTGATTAAAGGAGCTTGGCCATTCAATAATTTCATCATCTATGAAGAATTGTTCTCTTTCAAAAGCCATTGGTTCTAACCATCCAATTTTGACTTTACGGAAGGAGTTATTTGCAAATAAAATCATGTGCATTATATCAAATCCAGCAACAATTTCCCCTTTTCCATTAAAATTCATGTTCTCTCCTGCTGAATTGTTAAATGATATCCCTTGAAAAAATGCATGTAACTGGGAGGAGGGAAAAATAGTAGAGGAATAAGAAAAATAAGTGTAGAATGTCACTTCATGACATGTTGGAAGCAATTAAATTCAACATAATTTATTCTAGATTATTTTATGTATGATAGGATGATCTCAAAGATCTCTTTCTAATTACCAAATTCTGCTATGTACCATCAAGTTACGCTGTCAAAATTTCATTATTATCGAACAATGGGACAAACTCTAATACATCTTTAGGTATAGATGAAGTACATACTTTAATTAATTTTGTGGGCAATTTAATTTGATTAAATTTATGGACAGTCTTTGACCCTGATACATATTGTTGCTTTTATCTGTGATTGTTATATCAGTGATCATCAAATGCAAGCACCATACCATGAATCCCAGTTACCATTGCTGTCTATAGAATTATAAGTTCAAAAAAGGATGAATGATAAATTTAGAAGGGAGGGAGGGAGGGAGGGAGGGAGGGAGGGAGGGAGGGAGGGAGGAAGGAAGGAAGGAAGGAAGGAAGGAAGGAAGGAAGGAAGGAAGGAAGGAAGGAAGGAAGGAAGGAAGGAAGGAAGGAAGGAAGGAAGGAAGGAAGGACCAATATACGAAAATAGCTAAGTCCAGCTGGCAAGAAATTTAGGTTGTAGCCCTAACCCTGTCTCAGAAATTGAAATGGATGCAATACTTCACTTAGATTTTAAGAGTTATTCCCTTCTATTCACAAATAGACAATCCTCTCTTGCGAGTTAAGATATAAGTCTCATCCCAATTCCTGATGTCCAGTAACACAGTGACAGATAACTTATAAAAGTGAAAGCCATCCTGTTAATAAGATATTTTAGAGAAATGTTCTTAATATATAATTGTTTTCTGCTGACATGGGCTGCTATGGCCTTAAGAATGGATTCTCTCTCTCTCTATCTCCCCTCCATAAATGCCACAGGACTAAATCCCACAGGACTTTAATTGGAGTTAGGAGGAATCTATCTATCTATCTATCTATCTATCTATCTATCTATCTATCTATCTATCTATCTATCTATCCATCCATCCATCCATCCATCCATCCATCCATCTATCCATCTACCCATCTATCTCAAAATTTGGCTATTGTAGAGCAAATTGTTCTACATCCTTTTGGAGTCCGATCTATTTTCAATTTTCTATAATAAAACTGAAAGAGATGGTCATTTTTAACACCATTTGTGCACTTAAGACTCTGTGAAGAGAAATTGTTGGAAGCCAGGAAAGGAGGGGGGAAGGAAGACAGGAAAATGGTAGTAGATTTCCATCAAATTTTGGTTTATTTTTCTTGCAAGATTAATAAACAGAACAAAAAAAAAATACTGTGAGAAGACATTGCATGAAAAAAGTCAGAGATTTCCCCCCCCCCCGAACTTTGTTTTTTTCTTATTTGGCAGATAAATGAACAAATTGGAAATTTCCACTGGTTAGGCCAAAATTCTGGATTATTCATTGATTCTTAAATTTATTTGCCTCCCATCTCACCATCATGTGACTCTGGGTGGCTTAATATTATCTTGTATTATTCATATATATGAATGAGGTGGCGCAGCAGTTAGGGTGCAGTACTGCAGGCCACTTTAGCTGACTGTGTTCAGCAGGTCAGTGGTTCAAATCTCACCGGCTGAAGGTTGACTCACCCTTCCATCCTTCCGGTATAGGTAAAATGAGGACCCAGATTGTTGGGGGCAATATAAATATATATATATATACATTGCTTACTGGTGTACACCGCTTAGAGATTGCTTGCACTTAAAGCGGTATATAAGACTCATAAATAAATAAATAAATAAATAAATATATTCAGTCTGTTTCCCTATACTGCTTTTCTATTCCTAATTCTATAAGATTTTAAAATATTGTTTCACTATTTTCAATTCTATTACATTCTATTTTAACCATTCATTAAAATATTGCTGCTGGACAACAAATATTTATCTATGACAGCTGACAGTGATTACAGATTATAGTCTTCATTAACAACTGCCTCATTTACTAAATATTTACAGTTACAATAATGCTAAAAAATTACTTTGCCACCAGTTCTCATATTTACAACCTTCAGAAGTCTGTAAAGCAAAGGAAAGTTGAAGTAAGATCATTTTGATTGTTCTCTTAACATCCGAGTTGCAGTCCCAATTGTGGTTGTTAATAAAGACTGCCTTTATTAATTAGTGATCAAAATATATTTCTCTAATAAGGCAAGCATTTGGTTTGTTATGAAAGCAATAATGGACATGTCCCAAGGATGCAACTATTAATTCTTATCATCAATGTATATTTCATTGATGATTGGATACATTGATATGCTACTTATTTTCAGGATCATTGAAATTATCAGAGATTAGACAACCATTTTTCTGGGATGATACAGGGTTTCCTGCCTGAGCAGGGGATTGGACTAGAACAGTGGTTCTCAACCTGTGGGTCGGGACCCCATTTGGGGTCGAACGACTATTTCACGGGGGTCTCCAAATAACGCAGTCCACCATTTTTCCCCCTTTTCCTTAGCTGTGCTTTTACTCTGTCTCTGCCCTGCTGAGCCCGCCAAAAGTCCCATTCTGAAAACAGTGCTGCCCCAGTTGAGTAGTCCTCGACTTATGACTGGTTGAGTAGTCCTCAACTTATGATCGGTTGGGGGTCGCGACATAAAAAGGTTGAGAACCACTGGACTAGAAGACCTCCAAGGTCCCTTCCACGGTTATATCATTCTGTTATGGGAATATTACCTGCCAAGGTTGCAAAATCTCAGATCTTTGCTCCCCCATTCTTACTCTGTATTTAGTCTTTGATGAGTGCATTGCGTGAAGAGCATGGGCTACCGCATAGACAGCATTGTAAATACTGTAGCTGTGGCCATTCATTCTCACTTCAAAAACAGATTGAGGAGGCTTAGCCAGGTTCTCCTTCCCAGTACATAGTTCATCCTGCTCCAATGGTTCCCCAGAGTTTGGAAATGAACATTCAAAAACCTGTTCCCAGAACAACTGGACAAAACCATCACCTTCAGGCTTGTATGGATTTTTCTTCTGAAGATATATCTGAAATTCCTGAAGTTGCTTGGAATGAATTGCGAAGGATATGGCACCCTGGAACATTTGAAAATCCATCCGTCTGGTCACTCCTGTTACTGCAAATTCCATCTGAGCTGTCATGATCCACACCTTCCCAAAATATGCGTGATCAGAAACTAGAAGAGTATTATAGGTAATTAACCACATAAGATTCATGGTATCTCCATAGATGATAAATGCTCTGGCCCTCTGATCCATAACAGATACATGGAGATTTCCAAATGTACCCATATCATCACTGGACAAGACACGGCCTTGGCGTGGAAACACCTGAACGAAGGCTAAACAGATTCGATACTGGGAAAACAATGCTTCCATGCTTTGCAAGAAATATTTTCCACTATCATCATCTCCTGTAAAAAGACCCACCCATGTCCAGCCAAAGTGTAGAAGCAAATGGATAATTCCCATGTACTGGTTTTCATCATTTGGGACCATGCGATAAAAAATAGGATCCTTGGGTTTTACAGTGTCCTCAGGAGCAAATGATCCATATGTGAGCTTAAAGGCAAAGTGCATGGTGCATTTTCATAAATCAATCATACCTGCAGAAATGAAATTCCTACCTTTCAATTTCCCTTTGCTAAAATTAAAAATTTTGCCTTTACCTATTTAACAGAGATGCAGAAATATGAACAACTTGAATTAGAAAGAAGGATTCTGAACCTCTCTAATCCTCCCAGGAGTCCTTACTTCTCAAATTGTCTAAGCTTAATTTCTTTCATTTTCTAGCTTCTCTTTTATATTTCAAAACCACCCGTGTGATGAATATAACATTAATAAAAGTAGCAAAAGCTGGTCCCTGCAGATATGCATCATCCTCACCTGTGGAATCTTGTAGAGTCCTAAAACATCTGCCATGTGAAAAGAGGTGTCAGATGCAAGACCTCCCACAACAGCAATTAAGTTTTTAGGGAGTCCACATGCATAATTAGGAAGAAAATGGTGCAATTTAAAGAGCAAATTGAGAAGATTGTAATAGGTCATCCTCTGATCATAGTAGGTGTCATAGATGTGGAATCCCACTGTGATATTTGGCAAAATTGTTGGCGACTTATTGATTGTATTTACAGCAAATGCCAAAGCCAAAGAATTCTGGTAGAACTTGGTCAGCATCCTGCAAATAGAGTTACAAGGCTTTTTACATATGAAATTAATCATCTTTACCAGCACAACTCTTGGGCTGATGCAATGGGATCAGAATTATGAAGATGAATTAAGGTTAAGACTAACAGAATAACAGAGCTGGAAGGGACTTTGGAGGTCTTTTGGCCCAGCCCCCTGCTCAGGCAGGAAACCCTATAGCATCCCAGACAAATGGCTGTCCAGTCTCTTCTTAAAAACCTCCAGTGTTGGAGCACCCACAACTTCTGGAGGCAACTCATTCTACTGATTAATGATTCTAAGTGTCAGGAAATTTCTCCTTAGTTCTAGGCAGGTTTTCTCTTTGATTAGTTTCCATCTTAATGGATGGAAAAGAGGGGAGCAGATAAAGTGAGAGTGCTTTCAATATATGCATTATGAAATTTAACTGAATAGGAATCAATATTTAGAAATCAGTGAAATACCTCCAACCACAATACATGTGATATTAAAAGTCTTTCCTGAACACACAAACCAAATGAGCAATTCTCAGGGAAAAGATTTTCCAATCCTGCAGTCAATGACTTTCCAAAAACTAAATCATGCCCTATTATTATTAAGCTATAGGAAACAGTTCTAAAAGAAAAATGTGTCTTTATCACAATTTTAATGTTCTCCTTCTCTCCCTTTCTCTCTTTATCCAGAATAGAATAGAATAGAATAGAATAGAATAGAATAGAATAGAATAGAATAGAATAGAATAGAATAGAATAGAATAGAATAGAATAACTTGTTAATTTCTACATAGAGAAAAGCATGAAATAGTCTGGTTGCTAGTCAGTCTTAACTAATTAAGTTCCTGCTAATCTATGTTACCATTTGTGGCTTGCTTGTACACTGAGAGGCAAATTATGCACAGGAGACAAATTCCTTGTGCATTCAATCATACTTAGCCAATAAAGAATTCTGGTCTATTCTGTTCTGTTCCATTCTTTTTTAATCTATGTCAATTTTAAAGTCTTTTTCATCCATATTTCCAGGTTTCATATAGTCTTCCCAGCCATGGAACACTGCTTTCTCCAATTTAACAAAACTCCTCACTTTCTCTGTAATTCAACACAATACTGCATTGAAAACATTGAATTAATGTTTTTCAAGAAAGAAAAGAAGGAATAATAGCAAGAGACTAAAGTTTATATCGAAGTAATAGGTGACTGTCAGCAGACTAGAAAATGACATTGATGGAAATAATGAAGATACCCTGTAACAGGGATGGGGGAAATAACATGTTTTACATTTTTAGTTACTATACATGACTATTTCTAGGAGTTGAGTAGTACTTGATTTAGGAAGGGAAGGTTGAGTGTCTTACACTGGAAGATCAAAGCCAATATCTTGTGAAGGTATATTTTTGAAGGAAACTTCATTAAATACATAAATGACCTGAGATGCCATCCCACCAATGAGAAGTGTCCCTGGCTGATACCAGTCATGAGGAACAGTGAAGAATTGGGTTTGAGCGCACTTTGTGGTCACTCTTTGGCACTCTTCAAGGGATAGAAAAAGGAACAGTGCCAGGAATTTCACCATCCCTGGAGACATGTTTTCCTGGAGAAAAGAGTCTTCTGCATATTATTTCTGCTTTGTCACCTGTTTTAAAGAGAAAGCAGCAATGTATCTCAATATTACATGGCTCAACCAACACAGAAAGAAATTTTAAAAACTCCACAAAGCAGTTCAATGATCTGAAGCCATTTCTGTCCAAAACAGTGGAGAACTGGATAGGTTCACATGGACAAAGCCTGAGCTTGCCTCTTTTCCATGAAACCAGTTGAAGAATACTTGTATATTATAAACTCTTTCTCAACTGCACATCACATATTGATTTCTCTCTTGTTATCTTGTGGATCTGGACGTCTGATCAATGAAACTAATTATAAGTATGCAGCAATTATAAGAGAAACAATTAACTCTGCTGTGTATTAAGGATAACACAATGTAAGTAGATGCTCTTTTTGTGTGTGTGTTGTCCTTGATGGCCTCCCTAATGGGACACCAGTCAGAGATGGGCTCCAAGAGGATCACATTGATTAAATATGAACAGAATAGCATAGCCCATGGGTGCAGTTGGACCAAGGTAAACAACTCTGAACCTGAAGGGAAATGCTAAGTCAATATTCTGCTGATCCTTATGTCCCACAATGAGTTGGAACAGTTTCTTCTGGTCTTATATCTAATAAGAGAACTGAGTTTGAAACTTTGATTTTCTTCAAACAGGAATAATACTAGAATGCGTTCCTGGACATATCTTCAAATAGATCAAAATTTAGATTTAATAATTTCAGCTAAGAATAGAAATATTGATCTAAATAATATGAAGTTAGGTTGATCTAATTCAGAATAACAGGGTTGGAAGTGACCTTGGAAGCCTTCTAGTCCAATCCCCTGCTTAGGCAGGAGACCCTATACTATTTCAGACAAGTGGTTGTCCAATCTATCCTTAAAACCCTCCAGTGATGGAGCATCCACAACTTATGGAGGCAAGTCATTCCACTGGTTAATTGTTCTCACTGTCAGGAAGTTTCTCCTTAGCTCTAGGTTGTTTCTCTCCTTGATTGGTTTCCATCCTTTGCTTCTTGTCCTGCCTTCAGGTGCTTTGGAAAATAAGTTGACCCTCTCTTCTTTGTGGCAGTCCCTTAAATATTGGAACACTTCTGTTGTGTATCCCCTAGTCCATCTTTTCATTAAAATAGACATACCCAGTTCTTGCATCTGTTCCTTATAAGTTTTAGTCTCCAGTCCCCTAATCATCTTTGTTGCTCTTTCTAGAGTCTTAACAATTTTTTCACATTGTGGTGATCCATATTGGATGCAGTATTCAACTTCTTATCTATCATTGTCATGGCTTATTGAGAAAACAAAAGAGTGAGGCCACCTCTACCCTTGTATATTCAGGATGCATTGTGGGATGTAGGGACAAATGAAGGCGGAATCATCACAGAGAGAAAGTTTCCCAATGCACCACCAGAATTAAGGAGGTACTGTAGAAAGGGGAATAAATTAGTGCTTTATAGTAAGATAGGTGTTGCATAAGAGCTATTGGAAGAATAGTTTCTTCATGGATGAGACCAAAAGAGAACTTTTGTGCCTGAATGTATCACATTACATTTGGCAAAAGGCAAACACTGCATTCTAGCAAACAAAACCAGTCACTTATAAATGAAATTAGCTGTTGTTTTTCTCCAGTCTTTGCCAGCACTTCTTTTTTTTTGGTCATCTTCACTAATCATTCCATCATTGTGGGTATTTCAGAGTCTTTCTGTGTTTGCACATACAATAGTTTTACAGCAATATTCATTTACAAAAATAATCTTCCTTGGGTTTTTTCTATTTTTTTTCTATATTTCCCAACTAGTTTCAGTTGAAAGTTGATCTTTAAAATCCTTTGTAATAATTATATATTTGAACCCAGAAATTTTTGACATTTTTTTAACAAATCTGCCAGGCATGATAAAATAATTCTTCATGTTGTCCATGTTACATAATAACAGAGCTGGAAGGGACTTTGGAGGTCATCTAGTCCAACTCCCTGCTCAAGCAGGAGACCCTATACCATCTCAGACAAATGGCTGTCCAGTTTCTTCTTAAAAACCTCCAATGTTGGAGCACCCACAACTTCTGGAGTCAAGTCGTTGTTTCAAACATAAACTTTATATATCTTTTTACATTCAAACCTTTTTTGGGAGTTATGTATGGAGGGTACATCATCCTATAAACATTTTCTTTTGAACTGCAACATAATGAAATTGTTATCCCCTTAACCACATATTTTCCCATTTTGTTCCTCCGTATATTTTGTCCAAAGTTTTGAGTACATTTTGTCATAGAATCTTTCACTTGTTCTTCTGTTTCAAATTTTAATAAAAGCTGATCCATTTTAGCCAGGACACATTAATCATTTTTACACAGTCCAAATTCTGGTTTCTGCTATATCATTGCAAAAGTCTTATTATCTACTTTAAATCTTTCTTTTAATATGTGTACCAAAATTATTGACAACGAATTCCCGCTTTATCAAAAACGTTAAATATTTGTTTAAAGTGATAGTTTCAATTTTGAAATTGTATAAAATTCAGCTGTGGTTCCCATTAAGAAAACAATAAGACAATAACTATTGGAACTTTTATTACCAGTCCAGCTTTAATATATTTATTATTTTATTTACTAATTTAGAAGAAATATATGGCCACTAAACTGATGGGCCATGAGAGGAAAACATTGTTTAATAATCAGTATTCATAAGGCTATTCAAAATATTTAAAACTATTCTGAAACTATTTCAAATGCCTCAGAAGAGTGATATGTTGGTTCCAGAGCTTAAAAATATACTACTAAATTATAATAATATAATATAGAAATTTATGAAAAAAATCATTCACGTAGAAATCTATGAAGATTCTCAATCATCTGAAGAATTGAAGAAGCTTCTTGGATAAGACACAAAATGTTTTCAAGGAAAAATCCAGTCGCCTCTTGGAAAAGCATCTTGGGGTCAATCACATAGAAGTGAATATGTTGATCTGTTTGTCATTTTACCACACATTATATAAGAGCATGCAATTTCACTGGTTCATTCTTTGTCCTTATTAATCCCTCCTTATTATTCAGTTCAGGTCTCAACCAGATAATATAAACTTTTGGAAAAAAGATACAGGCAAGCAGTGCAGCCCCAGAGGCCAAAATGGAGAAGATCTCCACACCTACCATGTATTTGCCTTTGGCACTCAAATAAGTTGGGATAAAAGTCAGCCAAACACTGCAAAACATGAGCATGCTAAAAGTGATGAATTTGGCTTCATTGAAAGCATCCGGTAAATTTCTAGATAAGAAAGCCACTATGAAACTGATGATGGACAGAAGTCCCATGTAGCCCAAAACAAAGTAAAACATAAAGGTAGAGCCTTCATTGCATTCTGCTATTATCTTGTTTGGTAGAGATTTCATATCCAACCTGGGGTATGGAGGAGCAATGGCCAGCCATGCAGTACAAATGCCAGCTTGAATGAGAGAGCAGGAAAGGACAATGGTGTTGGCCAGCCTTTTTCCCACCCACCTCCTCACATTGGATCCTGGTTTAGTGGCCATGAAAGCAAGAACCACAGTGCTGGTTTTGGCCAACACACAAGAAACTGCCACAGTAAAGATGATACCAAAAGTAACATGACGAATGAGGCAAGTGACTTTGTGGGGATGGCCAAGGAATAAAAGAGAGCAGAGGAAGCAGAGCAGGAGAGAGGAAAGAAGAATATAGGTGAGTTCTCGGTTATTGGCTTTGACTATGGCTGTATCACTGTGTTTAATAAAAGTAATAAACACCAAGACCGTGACCAGTGAAAAACAAAGGACAATTGAGACTAAACCCATTCCTAATGGTTCTTCATAGGAAAGAAAGGTTATTATTTTGGGGAAACAGCTGTCATTGCTCTGGCTTCGATACTGATCATCTCGGCACTGCATACATTCATCCGTGTCTGAAAAGAAAAGGGAGAAAAATTGTCAAGAAAAATAAGTGTATCTATTAGACTTTGACTGGATCAGAAGCCAAATGAAAACAGCTTACTTCATAATAAGAATAGAATATAATAGAATATAATAGAATAGAATAGAATAGAATAGAATAGAATAGAATAGAATAGAATAGAATAGAATAGAATAGAATAGAATAGAATAGAAATAAGGAATAGAATAGAACAGAACAGAACAGAACAGAATAGAATAGATTTATTGGCCAACTGTGATTTGACATATAAGGAATTTGTCTCCAGTGCATAAACTCACAGTGTATATATTAGCAGCAAGTAGTAGATCATAGATCATACATCATAGTTACAATCATTAATCATAACTTACAAACAAGAACTGATAAAGCATAAGAATCCAATCCGATGGTGACAGCATGGGGAAAAACCAAATTTATGTCTAATTGTTTATAGCGGCATCCTGAGGGGAGAAGTTGAAATAGATTATGTTTAGGATATGAGGGCTCTGTAAGTATTTTCTGAGCCCTCTTTTTTGGTTCATGCAGTATACAGATTCTCAATGAAGGCAGGCTGGTTGTGATTGCTTTTTCTACAGTCCTAACTATTCATTGTTTCTGGTTACTGTTCCAAATCAGACAGTTATATAGGAACCATTGTAATAAAATATCATACTGACTGTCAGAAAATGGAAGAGTATGTTGAGCCTCTTAGGCTGTGTTTGTTATTGAATTGGAAGCCAAATTAAGACAGCTCAGTTGAATACCATGGAGGAGCCATCAAAGTTCCATGTCTTTATTTTCAAAGACAAGCCACGATCTGTGATGGAATACCAGACTGACTCTCAGAGTGATATCAGAATATCAACAAATACTACAAAAAAAAAAATAACCCAACAACAACAACAACAACAATATAATTTACTTGATTTTATCATTCTTAAGTAGAAGTGGATAGAATATCTGGTTGACTTTCACAACTATTTTACTGTTTTTTCCCAAAAGTAAGCCCTCCCCAGGAAGTAACTCCCAGCTGATTTTGCGGGGTTGGGCCTAATATAATGCT